GCAGCCGCCGCCAGCGGCACCGGGCCCGGGCGGCGCGGGGGAAACCGGGTCCTGCCGGCCCCGGCTGCCGCGGGCAGGTCTCGCCCCTTCTGCCGCAGGCCCAGGCCAAAAATCCCCCCAAAACATCGGGAAGTCCCCGGAGGGAGCTTGGCACCCCCCAGGGGCACGGCGCGTTCTCCTCGCTCGCCGCCGTCCCCCAGAGCTCGAGCGGGGCTCTTTCGATTGCCAGAGCAGCTCTCGGGAGCTTTGTGCTCAGTAGTTCACCCGGAGAGCCGACTACAGCTTCCAACAGCCACCGGGGCTTGCTTTCAATTTCAGCTGGTTTGGCATGTTCTCGGGTAACATTCGTCCGAAAGGTACCCTCAGTGAACGTTGGGAGTTGTAGTCACTTCAGCTCCCAGTACGATTCCCTCTATTGGGGCAGGACTGGTTGGGGTTTCAGTTTTGGTTTTGTTAATTTTTTATCTCCTTAGATCCCAGTACAGGAGTGAGGCTGAGGCAGAATACAGCAGCATAAACCAGGGCATATATACTGTCACATGTGCTAAGACCCCATTCCCTCAATTTCTGATTATACTCTAATTTCAAGCAAGGCTTTAATAATGATGGGACAAAAACATTTTAAAGGGAACTTGTGCTTTTGATTCCTAGACTCTGCAGACAGTAATTATGAGTTTCACAGCTTTTTTCTTTGTACACTGCTTTCTTGGGCCTTGCTTTCCTTTCCTTCACTTAGACCATGTTAATTTGTATGCAACAACCCCAACACATCAGTCTGAGGATGTTTTTGGCTGGGACAGTTGGTGACTGATGCAGCTTTCAAGCAGGGCTGGCTTCTGCCTGGCGTCAGACCCAGGGCCCTGGAGAGCTGCTGATTATTCGTAACAGTTAGAACATGAATTGTGGGAATGCAAACTTCCCTCTGGCCATCTGCCACTGGGACTTGGCCTTTAGTGGGGATCCACCCCAAGAGCCCAGCTTGGGGGACCTGTTGGTCCTTGGCCTTTTTCTTGGCAGTGTCAGTTAACGGCAGTGCTGCTTTTTGTAATGTGTGCACCTACTCTCCAAGGACCAAGGACCGGGCAGACTGGTGCCTCGTGCTGCCAGCACCTGTCCCACCACGGTAACTGCTGGCCTTTATGACCACCGTGATTTCCTTTGGCTGGTGACCCAGAGGTGACACCTCCTTTATCTCACAGCAATTCCCCCAGGCACTGACTTTTCCAGTCCTTTTGTCCTTGCAGTTCCACAGACGCTTACATTGCTGGAAAGAGGGATTGACCATAAGGTGAGATGATTTGGACAATATTTTCCCTTTTAAAAGAACCCCTGTCCCAAGAGGAGCTGTGATTGCACAGATTTGATCATCTCTATTTAAACACAGGAGGGCGTTTAATATTTAAACTGATTGTGAGCACCTTCTGCTGGAAGTGCCTACTACAGCAAACCAAGCCTCCTGGTGTGATTAATGAAATCCATTGTGGCATTAATTTTCATCTCTAATGCTTCCTTCAGTGTATAAAACAAAAAGCGATTATACTGAGATGGTTTTAATCTCCCAAACAAAGCCTGAAACAAACCCCATTGCTGCATCTGTTAGGAGAGGGATGAAGAAAATCTATTGCTTGGATGGAGAGGGAAAAGCACATATAAATCAGTGAAATGTATTGTAAATATGCCACCATCTTAGTCAGGCGTCTATACAAGCTTAATGTTCTTTTGGGGACTATTGACTGCAAAACATAACTGTTATCTGGAGCAACCCTGGATTAAAGCTTTGTTTATAGCACAACATATTATTGACTTCCACTTAAAAAAATTCAAAAATCCATTGTCCTGTGAATTTAATTATTGGTTTGGCTTTTTAGAAATACAGTATGTTACTGCTTCTAAAACTCCTTTGTATGCTACTTTATTAGGATTTTATTTTGTATGTGTCATTCCAATCAAATACCTATGAAACCTGTTAAGAATATAACAATGCAGTTTCTTTACAATGAAATGGTGGTATTATATATTAGGATCCTAAAATGTATTTCAGCTGAGAGCTGGGACAGTTGCTGACTGTAAGTGGACACCCAACTCTCATTTCTGCTCTTCTTGCCCTGCTTCAGTTTGGTTATGTCCTTTGGAGAGCCTCAGCCCAGAAAATAGAACCACCAGTTATTGGAAACCAGTCAAACATGAGATTGTTTTGTTTCAATTGCACTGCTTGAAGGCTGATGTGAGACTTCACTCCTCAGGTACTGCAATAGTGAGTAGCTCTTGTGGAGATTTAGATCAGGCATTTCAAGAGCTGACACTCTTGCAACACAGAAGGTTCCTGTGTGTACAGAACAAATGATCTTTCAGCCTGCAAATCACTCCAGGTATGGCCCTTTCTGAAAATGCAAAAAGGCCAGACTGACTCAAGCACACAGAGAACCAAGAGCAAGTGACTGATGCCAATGATGTCATCACAGAGCACAGAAATGTCACCTTGCCCAGGACATATAGCCTTCTTTGTGATATTAGCAAACAAGGGTGAAAATAAAGCATAGGTGTAAGAGAGTGGGGTAAGAGTCTTTGTAAGAGGGTCAATCTCTCTTTTCTTGCTCAGATCAAAATCTTGCAGGTCTGTATAAACTAGGAAGCAAAAGGTTCTATTATGGGGCAAAAGGCACTGGCCTTGCCTCTGAGTATTTTTTTTCCTTCTTGCTTTTCCCCATCCCACAAGTACTGAACCCAGTGAATAAACCGTGGGGAGGGTTGGAGAACTTGATTCAAGGAGCCATCCAGGGCAACCTGCCAGTGCAAATTCCCTCTGCTAAACAGGTTCCTAAAGAGCAAGATACTGAAACAGGCAATCCAGCTTAAGCTGTGGATACAACAGCGAGTATTGTCCTTCCCAGAGGGTCAAGGGGAGGTGAACTCTAAGCTGTGCAGGCTCTTCAAGCCCAGTGTCAAGTATATTGTTAAATCTGATGCTTTGAAATCTGTATTCTGCCTTGCAGAGATTTCACTGGTTGGTTTGTTCACAAAGGAAGTGTGGCAGAGGGTCTGGACCTTTGGTGGTTACACCAACAAATGCTGGAGCATGTAGGACTGTATGACTTGAGCAGGACAAAGCATTTTTCACACATCAGAAAAGCTGCAAATCCAATAAATGTCCAAGTGCTTCAATCAATACCTTCACCTCAGCTGTGAGGGCAGCACTCAGATAACAGGCACTGCAAGGGATCATCCTTTTTTGTTTAGAGTAAGGGGAGAAAAAGATGTGTAGTGGGAAAGCCACAGCCAGACCTGTAAAAGTAGGTTATTGTCCTGTGCTTTTAAAGCCGACTGTGGTGAGAAAGGAATTCCCATCAACATCCTTAATCTTCCTGCCAGTGGGCTGACAGACTTCCAGGGGAGGCAGCACAAGCGATCAGGTTTCTTTTGCCATTCTCTCTCTCTCTTTCTCTCTTTCCCTATTTCTCTCTCACTCCCTGTCCCACTCCCCCCTTTCTGAATGATTAATTGCTTTATTCTTCTCTCTGTTTTTCTTCACTTTATTTCTGACAAATATCTTACTTTTTCTGGTTGTTTGTACTGCTGTGCTGAGGTGTTACAGCCACAGCCTCTTCTGCTGCAAAATGTGCAGCCAGCCTCAGAGAGTTTGCAGTTACCCTAATGAATAACTAAAAGACATGTGTCTTTCTTGCAGAACAGGCCAGAACAGTAAAGCCAGAGATAAGACTCGTGTGAACTTTCTTTCTCTTAGCTTCTGTAATGTCCAAAGCTATCTAGTATGTGCGTGCCCAGCTTTTCCCTGATGCTGAGTAGAGGAAATACAGGGTGGGAAGGTGTATTTGCAGAGCTTGGTAAGGGTGAAAAAACCCCAGAGATTTATCATTTAACTCTGGGAAGTTTTAAGAAGGGAAAGAAAGCTGTTATGAGTGTTAACCAAGCAAGATATAGTAAAATAGAAGACCATCCTGATTTTTCTCAAGGCTCAGTATCTCCACAGAGTTTCTGACAAATTTGTTTTTTTCCCCAGGATTATCAATATCACATCAAGTAGAACAGAAAGACCACTCATCCACCACGGTGACTCATGGCATTGAAGTCAGGGGAAACATCCCTTGACTGCTAAGGGGGTAAAGCATGGATGACTCAGGAGTGCCCAAGGACAGAGCCAACACCATGCTGTGCTCACCCTGCCTGTGTGAAAGGAACAGGGGGTGCAAAGGGAAAAGAACAGGGGAACAGTTTGACTTGTAATATGGCACATAGGAGTTAGAGATGTAACTATTTTGTGCTATAGGTTTTAGTCTCTGTGAATTGTGAGGTCTGGAAGCATTCTGTAACAGTCTTTCCAAAACAAAGCTGACAGTGCTGAGAACAAGCAGAACTACTCTAGACCTGGAGGAGTTGCATGGCCAAGTTTCAGGCCAGCTTGATCTGTCTGGAGTACCCCACCAAACATTTGGCTTTGGTTCACAGCTGACCCTAAACTGACACACATGCTGCCTTGCACCTGAGGCTCCTTCTTGGCTTACCATGGTTCAGGGAGACTCTGGACACGGGATCCAAGCTGTCTCCTTCTTTGTGGGATGATCTTTAACACTTATGCCAAGAGGGCTCCCATCCTCACACACCCTTGTGCCAGCTGCTGGGATTGCAGTGTGCCTTCGGCAGCATGTGACAGACTGCTGGAGCTACTCAGAGCTGCTGGAGAAGCTGCAGAGAAACAGAAAACGTCTCAGGGGCACAGTGAGCACAACAGGGTGCAGAGGAGAGCTGGGCTGGGGACGTACAGGGTGGCATTGAACACTCACATGTGAGGTATTGGGTCTGAGTGCTCCCACACAAACCCAGCTGTGGGCTGGCTGCTTCTGCAGCCCACAGGAGGATAAAGATGTAATGGTTCCATGGGAGATGTACATCTACATCTAGGCTGGTGCTCTGTTTTTTTAGTGAACTAGGTGTTTCAGCAGTGGGTGTGAGTTCTCCCTCTGGAATCTTAACACATGCCAGTGTTTGCCAAGCCTTTGTGGAACAAACACTCCTATGAAGAATTAAAAAGTAGCTTGTGCCTTTGCCCATATTAAGGCACAATCTGAGAGAGCTGTTCTTGATTGTGTTTCTCTTCAGCAAACCCTTAGGTCCTAAAATTACCTGTCATGGTGTGGGCCATGGAGTTCTGCAACCATTAAATGATTGGACGTGACTTTGTGCTTTGTTGTAGGGAAAAATACTTGTTCACTATGATCTGGCTCTGCTTCTTAGGGATATGCTGTGATTTGTAATGACTTGTTTTAGGAATGCTGGTCTTTGATCTGGCATTACTGGATTGTAATTGACCGTGTTGACACAAAGCAATGGTGGGGTTTAACGCAGCCTCTTTCACTCACTGTTGTGGTCAATTATTTCATGATAATGGCAACTCTGCCAGGTATTTTTGCTTCATTGAGCAATTATGTTGTTATGGAAACTGGTATTCTATAAATTATTTGAAGAGAGGCCTGATTCACTTACTGGGAACAAGAAATTTTAAAGTAAAAAGTACAGGATAACAGGGTTTTTCATTAGCTGTATACTTATTTGTGTAATTACTAATCTTTAGAGCTGTTAACTCCTTGGTGAAAATATCAGCACCTTCGTGTCCCTGCAGGATCTGCTCCGTTGTCACATCATTAGAGCCAGACAATCCTGCCCAGGGGGAGGCATCCTGGGTATGTGCAGCACAGCAGCTTTCAGAGGAGCTTTTGCAGCACCCATTACCTATGAGAGTAATCCCCTTTCACGCCCCGAGCTGTTTCCTCAGCACTTTCCAAGAGCTCGAACTACGATAAACATGTGGGTGGAAAACCATTGAACAGAAGTAATTAAGTTGCTCCTGGTGAGCTAAAGCTCATTCTACATGGATGAGGAATCTTGCATTAGCTGGAGGTAGTCAGTGCTATTCCCCAGCATCTTTCTCCTTTTTCACGCTTTCAAACTGAGATTTCTTCTGGTTCTTTTTAACAGTTGAGTTACTAAAAAGAACATTGTCACCTTTCACAAGTTCAGCTCTCAGGGCAGGGGGCACACTGTCTCCCTGGGCCCCAGCAGTGCTCTGCACTGTCAGGAGCAATAACCTCTCCTCCTCTTAGCTCTGGAGGCACCTGGAAATCTGTCTTTGCTGTGTCTGCCTGGTCACGGGGAGATCTGCAAGTACCAGGGAACCAGTCTCCAGATGATGTTTCCCTGAGTAGCGGGGTTTAATTTGAGAGGCAGTAATCAACCTTGCTATAAAAATAGCCAAGTCTTGATTTCTCCAGAAAAATTAAAATCCTGTGTCTTCTCATGCTGGTTGCTGGTTTCTAAATTCCCTTAATCAGTTTTGTCAGCACCCTTGTGTTTCACAGAATGGCGAGTTGCCAGACTGGTGTATCATCTTCCTGGGGTCTGCTGCCCACGTAGCAGGTATTCAAATTCAAAATAGCAGACTTTGTAAGAGTGCAGGACAGCTTCAGCTGGCAGGAAAAGATTGGGTTTCTTACAAATGTGGTTACATATTGGTGTATGAGAACAATTCACAATGAAATGAAACTTGCCATGAGTGATTTCCATTTTAAGCTCATATTATGTATAGGAGTTTTCAAGAGAAAAAGAATTGCCAAATAACAGCTAAGACATTCTGTTGAATTATGGGTATTGCTTTCTGCTGTTTAATTACTTGCAGAGTGCACTACCCTGTTGGAAAGGCAATGGCAGAACAGTTTTCATCTGGCAAAATATTTCTGTAGGATTAGAAAGTAAATTATTTTCCATTACTTGTACTGCTCAGAAAACCAATGTATCTTTTTTGCCCCATTTGGGGACTTGAATCACAAACAAAAGCAGGATGTAGAAAGCTTCTTTATTTTCTCGTTTTACTGCAAACATAAGAACTCTGCACAGCACTGTGCAAAGATCCCTGGATGTGGCACATGGCATCTGCTTTTGGAGAGGAAGCAAAACCAGACCTTTCCCAAAACTACACACCACCCCTCCCTGTACTTTCTGCTTTCCAAGGAGTACAAAGCTCTTCACAGAAACTATAATGAGGCAGTTCTTGGGGTGACATTGTCCTGTAATCCCTGTTCCCCTTTCACAGAGGGATGAGGAGAAGCCAAGGCAGTAACCTGCCAACAGTGCCCAGTGCCAAGGCATGCAAATCTCATGATCGAGTTGAGACCTACAGAAGTAACCCTTAGATCACAGTTCCTCTTCAAGAGCCAAGTCACAAAAGGAAAACAAGAGTTCCTGTCAATATCTCTTTGCAATGACTACACTGCTTTGGTTTTTGAGTCAGATTCCTGAGGATCAAGAAAGAAGCTGCTGTAACACAGCTGAAGTCACAGATATTCAACAGTGATGGTATTAAACAGCTGAATAGAGCAAGAGCAAGAGAGAAGGTTGAAGCTCCAGAGGGCTTGAGATCAAAACATAAGGAACATGGAAAACATGAGAGATTGGTTTTAAATACTAGAAAGGACCAATGGAGAGAATGAATCCATATTACAGTAATTTCACTGATCCACTTTACAGTATTTTTTTTATTTGTGAGATAAATTATTCTTGTAATTTTAAAAAGTATTTCTTTATTCCTGCTGGGAGGACCTAGTTGACATCAGTTGTAAATGTGTTAGGACAGAAAAATCAAAGTGTTTAACTGCTGCGAGGCACTCTCATAATATCATAATGCCTTTTGAAGCGGTAATTCAATGATTGATCAGAGGAGATCTAATTAACTGACTACATTATATTAAAAAAACAACCATGGAGAAAGCTGTGATACTCTGGGTATCACATTCATCAGAATCTTTGCTCTGCTGCATGGGTGTGGGTGTTCTAAGGAAAAGCCAAACCTTCATTCAATGGATCACCTAAAAATAAACCTTAATATTAAAAGTTTCCTTTCTCTTTCTATCCTGCCTTTCCCATATTATTGCTTTGCATACTTCTAGACATTTTAGGAAGTGCATAGACCATATTTGTCACTAAAATATTCAGCATTAAGCTAATTGCTTAAATCTAATATTCACCCACACACTATCTATATGGGGGTGAAATTTAGATGTGAACATTACCTTAATAAAATGCCTTCTATTCTTGTTTCCCATTTTTGCATTTTGCTGTAGAGCATTCCATGCCTGCAGGGGCAGGGTGAGCTCAGTTGCATTGGGAATGACATTAATGAACATTTAGTGCAGCCTCGGTGTGAGTTCACACATCTCCCATGGGGTGTGTGAAGGCAGTGATGTGACAAAAAGGGAGCCAGATACTCTTCACTGGGATCAACGAATGTGTTGACATGCTGTTGTCAAAAGGTGAGAAGATTGGGTGCATATTTTTCTTACTCAATGGCCTTTCATCCTGGATGTAGAGACTGATAAAACTCCACAGCAATCCAGGCTCTGGGTTTGGCTGAATGCCCTTTGGTCTGTGATTCTCCTCTCTCTTGGAGATCAGGTTATTTTATAAAGCTTCATACCTTTGCCTGCCTAGAATGACATGAAATCAGCCTTGTTGAGCAGGAAGAGAAAAGTAATCAAAAATCATATTTTGTACATTATTTCAGTGCTGTGGGTTAGCTTGCCACTTATTTGGATATCTGGTTTCTTTCAGCAACACTTTGATATTAAAAGTATATCTTAGTTTAAATAAACATGTTTTTGCCTATTTTAGTCATTGTCTTTTGGGTCAATGTCAGATGCAGCCTTATGTGAAGAATTTAGTTTATATTTTCCCTCCCTGTTTTCATATAAAGACATCATATAGACAGATGAGTTTTGCTTCCCCAAATCTACACTTAAATGAAGACATTTCAGTGAAGGCAAAAAAACAAAGGCAGCAACTACCTTCCAAACATTCCATTATTGAATATCCTTGCAGAAGAGCCTGCATGGCTTCCCCTTCCACAGTCTGCCTTATAATCCTTGCTACTCCCTGGGTCAGTTTTGTGCTACTCAGTATAAAATACACACGGTGTCAGTTTTACTCCAGTTAAATAACTCCAAAGGAGTAACCTATATACAACTAGCTGAAATGTTTATGGGTTTGCCCTTCAAGTGTTTTTGTTTGTTGACTGTTTCAGAACTTACTCAGTGGGAAAAAGGAGATGCTTGCACATAACATGGTATGTCTGCAGAGTTCAGGAAATATTGTCTCACATTTTGAAGCACACCAACATCCCTGCCCAGTGCAGGAGCCTCCTGGGAACTTGTGGGCATGAAAGGTAAGAGCTTACTGTGATTTTTAGTGTGTCTGCACATGCGTCACCCTCGGTTGCTTCTCTTTCTCTCCTGATGACTTTTCAGCTCAATAAGTGGTAGCATAAATAATCTGCAGTGCTACAGCCACCAGAAATTGGAAAATCATTCAGCAGCACAGCCTAAGACCGTCTCCAGCCAATGGGGGAAAGGCCTGGAGGTCAGGGAGGTGATTTATGGGAATCATCTCTCAACTGCTATAGAATTAGCACCTAGAGTTGGAAAAAAGAATCTGGAATAAAGGAATCTACCTCTATGGAAAAGTGCCTCACTCTGCACTTCAAATGTTTTGTTTTAAAAGCTGGAGTTGTATTTATAGAATTAAAATGGGGTTCCCCTGTGCCAGCCTTTTGTATCTATTATTCTAACATGCTTCTGTTGAACTTGTCTGATTTTCTGCTACTGTTAATTCTATCTATTAGTTGTTAGTCTGTTGAACCCTTCTTCTATCTCAGTTTTTGAAGAATAAGAGTAATCTGAGTAATTGGAGAATGCTGCCTAGGCCAGTGATTGTTTTTATAAAACAGAAACATTATGTTCCTCTTTATTTACAGTCATTGTAAATGGAAAATGAATCTATTGTTTGTGTTGCTCTGAAATTATGTATTGCTCTTTCAGACACCTGAGGACCCATTATCACCTCCTGAATTTTTGTGTTTGTCTGTGAGAGAAAATGCCCTTTATTGTCCTATCTCAGAAACACCATCTCATCAACTGGGAACCGATTTAGAATTCTTTTAATTCAGCAGATCATTAGAATATATATGACACTTCCAGGGAAAATTAAACCATGTGGAAGCAATAAAAGACTGGCAGTTATGTCTGATCAACAGTAATGGTCCAGCATCTTGGGAGAAAAGAATGTATTTTAATTCAGAAGCCTATCAACATTTAACAAAGCTGAATTTTGTATTTTTAGCCCATTACAAAATTACCAGTATTTGGAAATTGGTGTGCATTTTGTTGTTGTTGTTTTGTGGGTTTTGTTTGTTTTGTATTTTTTCTGGTGGGGATAAGGGGAAAGGGTGAAAAGACAGACAGCTGCAAGGACTTGCAGCACATTCTAATTCTTTATTTTGTTTGACCTGATTTAACAAGCTTCCTTTGTTGAAATATCATCGTCTATGTCGGGAATTATGTCAGGAAGCACAATATGTGCAGTGTGGGTGAGTGAGCTTGCAAAAACTGTCAATGAAGATCAATTATAGGAATTTTTGAATTACACATTAGATAAGAAGCAGATGACTTCTTTTCCCTTGCAACTGCGCTGTTAACTATTTTTGTCTGAATTAAAATACAGCCGTAGAGGCAGTGACAATCTGTCAGTGAGCGTCACAGGCTGCCCAGGCTTATTGATCATTTTCTTCTTTACGACTGAGGTCCTGCAGAGCCCTGGTTTTGGCAAAGAGCTCTGTGCAGATGAAGCCAGAGAGCAGCAATCCACTAACAACCCAGGATTTATATGCAGCTTGGGCAGAAATGGCCCTTTACAAATGACTTGGTAGGCATAAAAAGAAAAATGCTATTTAGGAGTTGCCATTTTCTGATGTGTTGGTACTGCTGAATGAGGCAGTGGGGGCTGTGTGTCCTTCTCTCACACCACAGCTGGGCAGGCAATGACAGGGGCAGGCAGCCTTCCTCCTGCACCTTCACTGTTTATAAATACCTTGGACCAGCCTGTTCATTGATATTTCTGAATGTGGAATAGCATTTCTTTGCCCCAAGAGGCTACATATAAGGGGGGAAGACTTTTGTAGACTCTACACAGCTGTTGAACACCACTGCCAGCATTTCCTGGCTCTGCCTCTGGCTTAGTTTGGAGCTGCATCCCAGAAAACAAGCAGGATTTAAAGAACCCTCTTCAAGAGAGAAGTAGCAGTTCTTATTCACAGGAACTAGATGATACATCATCTTTTGAGGCTGGGATACTGAAAGGCATTAGAATGAAAGCCAGGGGAACACAGAGAGGAAAGAGGCGCAACAAACTGTGCAGCCTGTGTGCAAATCTCTTTTATTCCAGCATCTTGTATTCTAAATAATCTTTATTTTGTAGTATCTGTTCATAGAGGAATAGGATTATGCAGAACCCAGAGTCTTCCACTGATTTAAATACTGTCTTCTGGAGGATTTTAAGTGGTAGCTGGTTGTTAACAAATAACAATTACTTATGATAGAATAAAAATTTTTATTTATTAACTTTAGTTAATGTTGATTTTTGTCATTTTGAGGTTGGCTATTAGGCTTTTATTGATAGCTCTTTGATATGAAAAGCTGAATACTTTCTGCTTTGTGCTTAAAAGCTTTAAGATGTGGGGTGTGCCAAGTCTGCACCTTCCCCTCATTTCCAAGGGACTAATTGCTACTAATTGTACTCATCCTCTGGCAGAACTCATTAATGCTGCATCTGATCCATTTCAAATTTCAGAGATGCAATGCACAAGATCCATTGCTCTGAGAAAAACTGGAGGGCTAAGTGGTGAGAGGAACAGAAAGAAGATAATATTCTACCTTAGTACTTCAATAACTAATTCAGTTATAGAAGAATTTGAAATAATAGCATTCACTAAATGCCACCTTTCATTAAAAAGTTATTTTCAAAACAAAAGTTGACCTGCAGTACTTTAAAAATACAGGGGAAAAAAGAAGTAGCCTAAAGCCATTTTTTATTCAGGAAATGTTTATTCCACAGAAACTCTTTCACATGGAATTTCCATTCCTCTTTCAAGATTTGTATTTTTGTATCCAGCCTTTGGCTAAAAATGGCAAAATGCAATTCCTTGGCAGACCATGAGCATTGCACCATTGCAACAACTTCCCACCTTCCCATTTTCCTTTTATTTGAGGAAGAATATGCTGGGTTTGGAGCCTTTTCTTTCCAGGTAGTAAAGAAAATTTAAAAGTGTGAGAAAACAATGTGAGCCAGGCCAATCACCATGAGAAATAGTGAAGAGCACTCCAAAAAAAGCAATTTCACCATGCAGTGACCTCCAAAGCAGCCAGAAATTGTCATCCACTTCCTTTATGAACCTTAAATTACTTCACTCTTTGTCAGTGTTATTTCTTAATCACGTATTCATCACAATTCTTAACATGGAAAAGCTGTTTAAAAATGAGAATCCCACCACAGTCACTGTAAAATATCTCCTGGCCTCCAAGCAAACATTACAGAACTAATTCTAGAAGAATTAAATAAAGTAACATGTAGGCTGTCATTGCCGAGCTCTCCGGGACAGGAATGAACACACCCACTCAGAGCAAGAACATCTAAAATCCATGAGGTACCAAAATCGTGATTCCAGATTAAAAAATAGGCAGGCAATCAAACCCAGATTTCTTTTAGTCTCACCTGGAAGAGTCCTTTGACATTCAAACTGCCATTGCCTCATCTGCTGCCTTTATTTATACTGTGCACAAAGTGCTACTATTGTGCTTTTTACCCTATTCACACTGCCCACCATGCTACAGGGCTGCAGAGCACAGATCATTGGCTACTGGAATTTTTGGAATAAATTTTCAAAGGAAAGAGACAGAGTTTATGTCAAGTTCAATTATACAAAAAATCCAAGTCTACCTCTGTATCTTAAATCATCAGAGTAAGTAAAGACTGGGTTTGTTCTCTTTTAAAAAGCTGGCATCATTTTAACAGACATATTTTGTTTAATCTATTTTCATACTTAATTTTGATACTTCAGTCTGATGGGATTTGTTTTTTTAACAAAATACCTGGGCACTGATGCCCAATCCCACAAACAATAAAATTATTGCTGTAGCTAAGGAAAGGATGTATTTTCTGTGGATTTGTTGATTTAAGGCAAAGAAAAGATTCCTGCTGTGAACATGTAGAATTAATTCACCCTAGGACCAACACATGATTAAATTTTAATAATAAGTTTTATTGTGCTCTCAAAAGAATTCTGTCTCTTCACCACAAAGGTATTGCTGTTCTTTTTTTCCTTTTGGAATCTAAGTAAAATATAACTGGATATGGCCATTTTTACATGATTATTCTACCTAAATTCCAGAGTAATTGAGTTAGTTAGAGGCAGTTGCCATCTGATAAGCAGCACCTGTCCTGTTCTAGGTTTTATCTTGTAAACCAGAGTTGCCTTCCCTTCTCCATCAATGAAAACATGCAAGTGGTTCCTTTGGAAACTAAAACCAAAACATTTTTATAATGGCTCAGATACTTTATCAGTTTTGCTTTAATTAAGCTCCTGCCACCTGTTGCTGTGCAACGTGTAATTCCCATTAAGTCATGACAAATGCAGTTTTCAGCAGCTCCAGGAGATGTTAATGTGAACACATCAATATTCATTTCTCTTGACAGATCGTGAGGCTTAATAAATTGCTTTCTATAAAATAATTTTTGTGGAATCAGGGATGTTCCTCTGATAGCACAAAGGAAACCTGAAGCTGAGATATCTAAAATATCATTTGCTTTTCACTGCATCTACAAGTTAATAAATTATTTCTCTGGAAAGTAATGAGGGATTTGTTGTAGGCTAAATATAAAAAAGCCCCAAAAACGTAGAAGACAATTAGGATTAAAAAAAGCACTTCACTTTCACGAGGTTAAATGCTCAGTTTGCACATAAAGAAAGATTCTTAGTGACCCAGTTCTGCTACTATTTCATTTTGGTCACACCAGAAATTTATCATGATTATGTTTTGGCTTACAGGGAAATTCAACATATGGCTGTGTTAGGAGAGTGTGGTCACAACTGAGCAGTGTGTGCTGGAATGAGGAACCCTCAGAAGGGGGATTTGGTCTGAAGAGCATCATCACATATGTCTGTTTGCATTTTTATGAATAAATCAAAAGAGAGATGACAACTATGTCTCTAATAGGAAGGCCCTGTGTTTTAAAAACTGCTTTAAAGGATTTTACTTCTGTAAATATAAAGAAAATAGAAGCAATACATAAAAACTTCCAGTGAACATTAGCACTTGTATAATACAATTATTAGCATATTGCTAATACATACAAAAAGGCCTTTAATATTTTAGTCAAAATAACCTTGAAGAATATTATCTCTGCTCCTACCTTCTAGTGAAAGTCTGTGGAAGAAACACCAAACAACCCTTCAGGTCTTTTGAAGTTTCATTTCCTTTTTGCTTATCCCAGGAAGCTGACAGCAGAATGGTCTTTTTCCAAAAATTCTCAGGAGGAAATTAAAAGTACTGCAGAAGGAAAGACAAAGTAATTGTTTTCCTGGTGATTATTTCTCTTTGCCTTCATATCTTTGATAAGGAATTTACTTCCCTCTTCTATAACTCTTCTTCCCAAATGTGTGTTTTGCAAATATTCCTATCCCGTGTAGTGTGCATGACTGTTATGTCAGGTTGGATACTTTGTGATGGTTTGGGAAAAGAAAGTGGAACAAAATGTGTCAGGAATCTAAGGATTATTTAGGTCCCATTAAGCAGTGGGGAGAGCTACACTTAGCAAGGGTTTGTGACAGCACTGGCGTCACCCAAGTTAAACCCTTTATTCTGAAAGTGGAAGTGCTAACCCAGGTGTGATCAGGGTGAGGGCTGAAGAAAGAGCTTGGTTTATTACAACCTCTTTTAAATATTGGTGAATTAGAGGAAGAGATAGAGCTGACAAAGGCAAATTAATATTTTTGTTTTCATACAGAATTATAGATTGACATATAGATTAGCTGTGGTAAAGGCCTTGCTGAAGAGCATGATTTATTTCTGGCATCCACATCCCCTGGAAGCCTTGGCTGCAGACCCATCTGCATGTGCAGCATCACAATTTGGAAAGAGCAGAGCTGGAAAGATTTGCTGGAAAGGTAGAACAAAACCCCAGGTTTTTGGTCACACTTAGCTCTTAGCATTGTGATAGCACAAGCCCTGTTTATTGTTTTCTGAGCATATATAAATTCATTAGCACTTTGGGCACAGCCACGAGTGTCTCAGTGCTCCACAGATGAAGAGATTTCCAAGTAATGCTGCTGTAAATACAGAAGTTCACAGCCAGATGGTGTTGGGGGGGACTTGGCAGCTCTCTGCCCATTAAAATATGGTGAGGTTACTTAGGATGAGGATCTGAGCATCAGGCTCTTGGCAAAACCCTGGAATACCTGCCTGCCTGGGCGTTTACTTCTACATTTATGGGGTATCAGACCTCAGGCAAGCCTCAAGGGTGTTACTGTGACAAGCAATCCTGGGAACAGTTGTCACCTTGGAGCACAATGCAGCAGCATGAGGGAGGAGAATTTGGGCCAAGGAAACAAAGGGAAACCCCTACTCTTATAATAAAATAATGTCAAACAGATGGTAACCAAATCAATGCATGGTGAGATGTCAAAACATGTTGAGCACCATATTGGGACCTGCTTAGGGAAAATCACAGTGCTACTTATTCTGTTACACTTTGGAACAACCTATTAATTTAATAGTAGGAATAAGCCCTTGCTTTGTACAGTTGCAGGTCTGCTGCTGCTCCTTCCAGTTAAATGAGGTTGCAGCCAGGAGCAGCTGTCAAGTTCAAGGAGTGATACATAATTTGGCTGTTACAAAGGACTGGTGCACTATGATTCCTCTTGATAAAAATATCAAAGGCAGGAAGGAATCATCACTTTCACTCTGAAGACTTCAGATGATCAACTTAAACAAAAAGAAAATATGTGTTCTTCTGAGCAGGTATGTATTTCTTTTTTACCTGAGACAGTAGAAATGGGTACTGAGGTGTTAGCACTGAAACTGCAGGTTTTTTTCTCTTCTCTCCTCCCCTCATCTGCCACTTCAGTTGTTTTCTTACCATTTGAAAACAGTTCTAGTGCAACTGCATTTTTATGCTACTATTTCATTTTGCTGCTAGAGTTTTCCTGTTTACCTAAGTCTGTCACAGAGCAACAAAGAAGGAAAAAACCAGTACGTGATCTTGAATCACATGGCTGCTTCTAGCAAAATGTGCATCTAAAGGCCTTCTTAAAGGGAACTCATCCAACTCGAGTCTTCACCTAAAGGAAGAGGAAAACTGTATCTGTCCCAAAGGCTTGTAAGAGCCAGCTTCTTTGCTTGCAAACATTTATTTGGAATAATTAAATTATAAAGCTGTAAATCAGCAAACTGATGCTATTGCTGAACCTGTTGGGCAGCTGAGAGGGGCCCGTGGTCCAGCCAAGCAGCTCACCTGGCTGGTTAAATCTGGGAGGTTGTGTGGGACACCAGAGCCAGTGTTCATGTTTTGAAGGGAAAGGGGAGCATCCATGTACATGAGATGAGACCCTTAGTGAGCCATCTCCTCTCCCAGTGAGTGGATCAGCTGGTCCACAGCACCCTGCAGAGAAGAGGGAAGGAGAATCAGCCTCACCTTGTGATTTGGACACAATACAGAACTGAGCTGTTCAGAAGGACAACCCAGGTCTTGTGCTGCCCCCATTTTCTAAACCCAAACTGATGTGCAGCTATGGTGATATCCCCAGTGGGATTAGAAACAGTGTGGGTATTTAACAGTAATTCTGGCAGTTAAAACACAGGGGGTTAATGATATTTGCTGAGGACACAGGCTGGAGAAAGGGAAAGACAGAGGAGCCTGAAGTTCTCTTAGTTTGGATGGCAGACTTGTTCAAAATCTAGGGTAGAGCACCTTTAGACGTGGTAGGGCTCCAATATCAGGGGAGGATGGGGCATTTTACTAAAATGCACTACGTGGCAATTGCCCAGTTCATGCACAGGAAGCTCTTTACTGCATTCCTGTTTTAGAGCTGATGTCCCTGGGAAATGCGGATGTGGATGAGACACAGCCAGCCACAGTGTCCTGAGTGGAGTCCAAAACCAAACTGGCAGTGCAGGTAGTGGACAATAAATTAGATTTTAAAAACTCTTTCAGGCTTTGTAACTTGAAATGAACCCAGCTATGCCAGTTTCAGATGAGAAATACACCACAAATATGTCAGTGTTCTGAGCGGGGGACTGGGGGAGGTGAAAGGAAGCAAAAATCTGTAAAATGATTTGTATAAAGTCAAACGTAATAAATCCATCAGTACATTACTTGCTCAGCAAGATGCCAAACCAGGATTAGCATCATTAAAAAGAATGTAAGAGAGCAAACTATCTTATATCACTCACAGCAACATGATTATTTTTAAGGGCCACGCCACCGAGATTTCTGTTACTAGATTAAATCTTGCCCACACACTGTCTAACAGGGGGATGTGTTTTGCACCCCTGGGATGTCTGCAGGTCGGAGCAGCTCTCTCTGCCGATGTTCTCCTTGAACATCTCCACACGGATCCATGGGATCCTCCTCACCCAAGGTCATCCTGCATCCCCTGAGCCTTCTCAGGACGCCTCACTGACACACGGGCGCCGAGCTGGAGGCCTTTCACCAGTGCCTCACCTTAATCACCCTGTGTCTGAGTAAAACGGCCGTACAGAAAGGGTCAGAAAGGTCAGGCAAGCGTTTTACAGAAGGAAACTTAAAGCTTCTGAAAACCTTTCCATTTCCCCTCTGGCTGCCCTACCTGGCAGCAGCTGCTGCCAGCTGTGACGTCTAGGGCAGGGTTGAGCCAGCTCCACTCAGAACTGCTGGGAATGAGACATTTTTCCCTTTTAGATTTGGCACAGGAAAACAAACAAACAAACAAAACATGTGAAATATACGACAAGCGCGGGCAGACCCGTGAGGGCAGCGCAGCACCAGCAGTGTCCGAAGGCCGTTCTTTGCTCCCTCCGGAGCTGGGAAGCCCCCACGGCACCGGAGTCCCCTCAGGGTCCCCTCAGGGTCCCCTCAGGGCCCGCGGCCGCTCCGCCCTCACGGGGCCGGCGCCACACCCGGGCAGGGCTTCCGGCCCCGCCGGCCTGCGATTGGCCCGCGCCGCGGTACCAGAAGTGACGTCAGGAGCCCCACGCCCACCGCGCCGTTCAAACGCTGGCGGCGGTAAAAGCGGGGCGCGCGCGGGGACTGGGGGGACGGAGGGGGGACACGGAGCTGGGGGGACACGGAGCTGGGGACACGGGGGCTCTGCGAGTGACCCGGGACTTGAGATGCGGCGGCTCTGAGAGTGACCCCGGGCTTGGGATGGGGCGGTTCTGAGGGGGGAACAGAGCTTGAGATGGAGCAGCTCTGAGGGAATCCCCGGGCTTGGGATGGGGCAGCTCTGAGAGTGACCCCGGGCTTGGGATGGAGCAGCTCTGAGGGGAACCCGAGGCTTGGGATGGAGCAGCTCTGAGAGTGACCCCGGGCTTGGGATGGAGCAGCTCTGAGGGGATCCCCGGGCTTGGGATGGAGCAGCTCTGAGGGTGACCCTGGGCTTGGGATGGAGCAGCTCTGAGAGTGACCCCGGGCTTGGGATGGAGCAGCTCTGAGAGTGACCCTGGGCTTGGGATGGGGCAGCTCTGAGAGTGACCCCGGGCTTGGGATGGAGCAGCTCTGAGGGGATCCCCAGGCTTGGGATGGAGCAGCTCTGAGGGGACTCGTGTCCGCCCGCTGTAACCCCCGCAGTCTGGGGGCTCTGTGCCCTCCCAGCCGGGTGCTGCGGTCACCGTCCCCGGAGGGGTTTAAGGAAAGGCTGCCGAGGCGCTGAGTGCCGCGGGGAAGGTGGCACGGTGGGGGTCGCTCACAGGATTGTCTCGGAAAGCTTCTTCAATGTAATTGCTTCTGTGCTTCTCCCCATTTTAATTGCTGGGACGCTTCAGTCGCGTTTAAACTTATAAGTCTTGTCCCTGACGAAAGGTGGATGTTACTTAAATTACATCTCCTCTCATCCATATTTTTTACTTGGAGTCAGCCAGCCAAGTGGCTCCTGAATGTCCCTGTTCCCTTTTTCAGGTGCTGGTTTCTATGAGATAAGCTGTAAAGATGTTGAAGTTTAAATGTGGAGCCCGAAATCCAGTCGAGGCAGGACCAATGGAGCCCATCACCAGCCGAGTGTCTCGGCTAAACCTGCTCTTTCAGGTGAAGGACATTGGCCTGGGAGCAGCTGATCTCAGTTTTATCTTGTCCATCCCCAGGATCTCAAAATACAGCTTTGCTTTTTTAGGCACTGAAACCATGCCTGTGTCATTCTTTGGGGTAAAAGAAAGGGGTAACTAAGTAAAGTTCAAAGTGTACCTGGTTTGCACGAAATTCAGTGGCTAGTAATTGATCTAATGTTTTGTGCACTTGCTGATGTTTTAGCCTGATGGATTTTTCCACATAAAGATGGAACATTGCTTTCTGTGCCCTGTAATCTTCAGTTTTTTCTTGAGTGAGGGAGCTGTGGGTCTGTCCCAAGATGAATTTAGCTAAGGGGCTGCTTTTTTATCATCTGAGATCCAACAGCTTTTCCTTCCAGAGCTATTGTTGATGCTGATTTCTTCAGTTGTTTGTACCATGAGAAGACCTGCATGATGCAGTGTCAAGGAGAAGGCCAGTCAGATCAGAGTCATCAGGAGGATATAGATTGTTAAAATTTGAATCACAGCTTTCTTGAGACTGCTAGTTTAGTTGCTTGAAACTTTAAAGGATTGCTTTGTCTACAAGAAAAATACCTGTAACAGCTATTACAGATAGACATAGTGAGTTGATATATTTACCTCACACTTCTGTATCATTTGCCTAATTTCTGAAGTAGTGATTTTAAAATGGATATATATTATCTGCTCTATACATCTGTTATTGATTTGAGGCTTTTCATTGTTGTCTGAGACTCCATCTGCTGTTGCTGCTTTTTTTTTCCAGGGGAAGCCACTCTTTGTGACTCAACAGCAGATGTCTCCTCTCTCCCGGGAAGGCATCCTTGATTCATTATTTGTTCTTTTTGAAGAATGCAGGAACCCTGCTTTAATGAAAATTAAACATGTTGGCAACTTTGTCAAGAAGTGTAAGTTTGTTTAGACTAATTTTCAGGTGTCACTTTGTAACACAGTTCTTCAGAATCTGGGTGTTAGAGTAATGCTTTAGTTGCTTTGATTGTAACCCAGGACTTTGAGCATATCATTGTTTGTTGGCAGTCTCAACTCTGCAGAGGAGATCTTGGCAGTCTTGGTAAGGATTTGTTCAGGTCCAAGAAGATCAAATGCAAGTGGCTTTTGAAGTGCTGTGACTCAAATGTGCCTCCTTCTTAGTCTGTACTGTATTTATATTTGAAGAGGTACTTTCTTGGAAAGTGAGTACTGCCTAAGCAAAGCTCTGAGTGTGCACCACAGAAGGATGTCAGAAGTTGAGCGCAGGACAGTGACTGTGAGAAAAAAAGATTTGAGAGAGAAACTTGGTAATCTCTGGCTCTTTCATCTTTTGGATTCCATGTGTTGCCCAAGTTCTGCATGTGTAACTTGTAAAGAGTATTTCTGTGCTTCAGAAATACAGGTCCTAAAGGGGTAAATATTTTATTGATAATGTGCCCAGATTCCTTTTGGGGAAGAGCAAAGAAAATTTCCATCAGTTTTTCCATTAAGATATAGCAGAAAGACTTTTGAGTTCAAGTAACATGTTGTGCCCCCTGGTATAGTTCCACCCAATGATTTGTAGGTATTATTAGCAGACAGCAATTTTCTGCTAGTTTGAAGAATTTTTAGAACAATCTCCAGTGAGTGACTGATTATCACAGTGCATGCTGGCTGGAACTAGTCAGTGGAAAACTTGAGCTGAATATCTGCAGTAAGTGCCTCTGGTTGGTTGTTAGACAATAGACTGGTGCCTCCCTCAGGCAGAGGAGCAAACCCTGCCCTGGACTAGAACTCGCTGGGTAAAGCCCTCCTGTTCAGAGAATAGACTTTGTATTGATAAAGGATGGCTGGAAAGAAATTAGAAATCAAAGAGGTTCTCAGCCTCTGATGTTATGAATGGGACAGAATTATGGTTGCTATGGTAACTGTCTTAGCATTTCCTGATCCTTTTGTATGTACCATATTTCAGACTTAACTCTGCATTGATACAGGCTTTTTCTAGTTCTGATGCATGCTGTTATTTTTAAGAAGCATATTCTGGAAAGATTTAACATTTCTTGAGAATCTGGAACTGAACGTTGGGATTTTTTTGGTGTTGGTTTGCTGGAGCTTTTTTAATTTTATTCCCAGTTTCGGTGTTGTCTCTTTTTTATAAAATGCCAGTTGCCAAATGTAAAAATAAGTATTTTATTTTTATAGATGCAGAGGCTATCGCTGAACTAAAGGAACTGCAACCCAGTGTGAAGGACTTTGAAGTAAAGAGTGTGGTTGGCTGTGGTCACTTTGCAGATGTCAAAGTAGTGAGAGAGAAAGTCACTGGTGATGTCTATGCTATGAAGGTGATGAGCAAGGAGTCCTTGCTGGCACAGGAGCACGTATGTATATTTTTCTGTTATGAGACTAGGAGGATAAATTGCAATTTGTTGAACACTTCCTATCTGTCACTATTAATAGAACTGAGTTAAAAATATATCTTGGGAAAGTTCATCCTACATTTGAGTGAAGCAATAAATTTGTGTGTAGCTTTGCTGTGTTTAAAAGTCATTGTCACAGTCTGTGGGTCTGTTGGGTGAGGTGCCATCCTCAGGTACCAAAACATGGCCCTTGTTGTAAAGAGCTTCCCATCATAATTATAAGAAAAGAAAAACAGACAATGAAAACACTGAATCAGTATTGATCTTGTTGATGATGGTTTGAATTTTCAGACAATCTATTCATTAAGGGTTTTTTTTCATTTTAAAGAGCAAAGTAGAATGTCAGGAGTGGGTGTGAAGGCAAACTGTGGTGACTGGATTTTTTATGGAGAGCCTCTCGCTAGCTTGAGAAATGTGTTACTTGGAAACTTAAAAAAGGGATAATGGAGGTTGTTCTCCTAGTTTGGTGAGAAACAGAAGTTAATCTTTGCTGACATGAGATGACAAGTAGGACAGAGATACTCCATGAGAGACCTCATGAATTTATACAATATCTGTATCAGTTGTTCCCAATACATGGTGCACTAAGGTTGCTCCTGATATCCCTCAGCATTGTTTGTGGCTAGAACAAATGGAGCTCAACTAAAATTACCCTTTCTGGGGCACAGATTGACAAGAAAGCAAAGTATGGTACTACCCTCACATTGCACTTGCTCAGGAAACAGCACTTAATAATTTCTGTGTCATTTTTTTGTGATGTGTGCCAAGTTTTTCTAAAACTAGGGGGTTCTAATGTATTCTCACTCCCTCTCCTCATGATGTAACTGAACACTTTTTTGGTAGGTGTCATTTTTTGAGGAAGAACGCAGCATATTAGCTCAGAGCACCAGTCCATGGATTCCACAATTACAGTATGCATTTCAAGACAAGAAAAATCTCTACTTGGTAATGCCTAGTTTTTTATTTTCTCCTCTACTGAACATCATTGTTGTTGGTTTATTAAAGAATAATGGGATGGTTGAAGTGTGCTTGTTTTCTGCAAATTTTCCTGCACTACATTGCACTGTTTGATATATGCCCAGTGTCATACAGGGGAGTTGAATGGAATATCTTGTATATCTCTTCCTTTATAATTCTATGTAGGTTATGGAGTATCAGCCTGGAGGGGACTTGCTGTCACTCTTAAACAGATATGAGGACCAGCTGGATGAGAATATGGTGCAGTTTTACCTTGCAGAGTTGGTTTTGGCCATTCACAGTGTCCATCAGATGGGTTATGTCCACCGGTACGTCAAGGCTCCTTTGGGTGCTTCTATATTCTGTCCTCTGCCAGTATTTCACATGCTGTGTCAGAGGACAAAATTAGAAAATTAATCAGACTCCCAACTGTAATTGTAGCTCAGGGCATTAACTTTGATGTAAAGTTCAGACCAATATCAAGAAAGGATTGTTACATATATTTTTCTGGAGGC